GCCCGAGGCCAGGCTTGACTTGTGAGAGTTTGGTCCACCAGGCTGTTGCTTGGAGCGGCCCGCAGGCCCACATATACCTGGTTGATGGGGTTCTGGGAGTTCTTCTACTCCCCAAGCCCGGCCCGAGGCCAGGCTTGACTTGTGAGAGTTTGGTCCACCAGGCTGTTGCTTGGAGCGGCCCGCAGGCCCACATACACCTGGTTGATGGGGTTCTGGGAGTTCTTCTACTCCCCAAGCCCGGCCCGAGGCCAGGCTTGACTTGTGAGAGTTTGGTCCACCAGGCTGTTGCTTGGAGCGGCCCGCAGGCCCACATATACCTGGTTGATGGGGTTCTGGGAGTTCTTCTACTCCCGAAGCCCGGCCCGAGGCCAGGCTTGACTTGTGAGAGTTTGGTCCACCAGGCTGTTGCTTGGAGCGGCCCGCAGGCCCCCATATACCTGGTTGATGGGGTTCTGGGAGTTCTTCTACTCCCCAAGCCCGGCCCGAGGCCAGGCTTGACTTGTGAGAGTTTGGTCCACCAGGCTGTTGCTTGGAGCGGCCCGCAGGCCCACATATACCTGGTTGATGGGGTTCTGGGAGTTCTTCTACTCCCCAAGCCCGGCCCGAGGCCAGGCTTGACTTGTGAGAGTTTGGTCCACCAGGCTGTTGCTTGGAGCGGCCCGCAGGGCCACGTACCCACCACAGCCCGGCTGATCCGGAACTTCTCTTAGAAAACCGTCCAGTTTTCTCTTGAAGATGTCCACGGTTGTTCCGGCAATATTTCTTATGCTCGCTGGGAGGACGTTGAACAACCGCGGACCTCTGATGTTTATACAGTGCTCTCTGATTGTGCCTATGGCACCTCTGCTCTTCACTGGTTCAATCTTGCATTTTCTTCCATATCGTTCACTCCAGTACGTTGTTATTTTACTGTGTAGATTTGGGACCTGACCCTCCAGTATTTTCCATGTGTATATTATTTGGTATCTTTCTCGTCTCCTTTCTAGAGAGTACATTTGGAGAGCTTTGAGACGATCCCAATAATTTAGGTGTTTTATCTCGTCTATGCGTGCGGTATATGTTCTCTGTATTCCCTCTATTTCAGCAATCTCTCCTGCTCTGAAGGGGGAAGTGAGTACTGAGCAGTACTCGAGACGGGACAGCACAAGTGACTTGAAGAGTACAACCATTGTGATGGGATCCCTGGATTTGAAAGTTCTCGTAATCCATCCGATCATTTTTCTGGCTGACGCGATATTTGCTTGGTTATGCTCCCTAAACGTTAGATCGTCGGACATCATTATTCCCAAATCCTTGACATGCTGTTTTTCTACTATGGGAAGATTCGATTGTGTTTTGTACCCTGTATTATGTTTCAGATCCTCATTTTTGCCGTACCTGAGTACCTGAAATTTATCACTGTTAAACATCACGTTATTTTCTGCTGCCCAATCAAAAACTTTGTTGGCATATGGTGATGTGGTCACCACATCACCTTTACTAGGTGAGTACACAATGGTCACTACACACTGGTCACCACACACTGGTCACCAGGTGTCACTGGTCACCAGGTGTCACTGGTCACCAGGTGTCACTGGTCACCAGGTGTCACTGGTCACCAGGTGTCACTGGTCACCAGGTGTCACTGGTCACCACACAATAGTCACTACACACTGGTCACCACACACTGGTCACCAGGTGTCACTGGTCACCACACAATGGTCACCACACACTGGTCACCACACACTGGTCACCAGGTGTCACTGGTCACCACACAATGGTCACCACACACTGGTCACCACACACTGGTCACCACACAATGGTCACCACACACTGGTCACCACACATTGGTCACCACACACTGGTCACCACACACTGGTCACCAGGTGTCACTGGTCACCACACAATGGTCACCACACACTGGTCACCACACACTGGTCACCAGGTGTTCCTGCTCACTAGGGTCACAGGTGGAAATTGAGTGCCCAAATGAGCCATAGAGACGTTAGAAAGAACTTTATCAGTGTCAGAGTAGTAGACAAATGGAATGCATTAGGCAGTGATGTGGTGGAGGCTGACTCCATACACAGTTTCAAGTGTAGATATGATAGAGCCCAGTAGGCTCAGGAATCTGTACACCAGTTGATTGACAGTTAAGAGGCGGGACCAAAGAGCCAGAGTTTAACCCCCGGCAAGCACAATTAGGTAAGTACACACATTCCCAACAAAGCAGCATGTCGGAAATGGTATTGCGCAGAGTAGAGATACCTGATCAACCAGGTTGTGATTCATACGTCAGGCTGCGAGCAGCCGCATCCAACAGCCTGGTTGACCAGTGCAGCAACGAGGAGGCCTGGTCGAGGACCGGGCTGTAACACCTAGGATTTTATATAAACTAATAATGAAACACTAATATTTTAACACTAATGGTTACACTGATATATATCCTGAGTGCCTGGAACCAAAGGTACACTGCCAAAAAGGAAATGCTACACAGGATTAACTACGCTGCCACCATCTGCCTTGTCCAGTGAGACTATATCAAGCAACGAGGCAAGAAACATTGCTTGACTTGGAGAGTCCTCTTCCTTTAACTGTCATTAATTATGGGACGGTTGTTAGCAAACTATATCTAGAGGCTAAGAGGGTTTAACAATTGACACAGACGGGAAGTTTAACACGAGTTTATTGAGAACCAAATTATGTTATTCACCACTATAAATCCTACTCTAACACTGGCCAATAGTTAAGAAATTTAGACATGGAACAAAACCCTCAGAGATCACACACATTACCTTAAGACCTCTGTCTCTCCCTCCGGTGGAGTCACTCTGTCTCTCCCTGGCTGTGAGATGTTGTTCACAAACCCACTCTGGACCCTGGTGTCCGGCACTCTCTCTCTAAGTCTGCTAAAGGACCAATTATACACCCCAAAAAGGGGGAAGGAGATTTGCTGTTGCTACCTACACCGAAAGAGGTCGCGCCACACGTGCACACTCAAGAATATTTTCATTAAGCTTGTTTGACATTCACCATACACTGTTCAAGAGAGGAATTATTTATTACGTGTGTGACTGACCTCTGACCTGGCCAAAAGGGGGAGATCCATGGATGTTTACACCTAAGAATCTGGGGTCTAATTCCATTACAATGTTTGACAAGAGTATCATGAAATATTACATACTTGAAACTAGCTGACTAAGACTAACCCAGGAATTTTTTAATCAACATACAAGATAATCCAGAGGTCATCTGGGCTGACCTCTTGGAGAAGGCTTCCCTGAGTGTGAACTCTAGGGGGGGGGGTTATGGGTGTTACAGGGCCGCGGGGACATTGGCCACCGAAATCATCACAAGGGCCCGGTTGACCTGGTTGTCGCCCTAAGCGAAGCAATCATCGAGAATACTGAACTAACTCTGACCAACACTGAGGCGTCAGAGATCACTCTCTGCAAGTATATAGTGAAGCAGAAGCCAATAGAGGATTACGGGCTCACCATAGCCCGTGTTACATGGACACTTCGTTCTGAGTAGTTAAATCTATAACAACAACAACAATAGAGGAAAGCGTGAGGGAATTAAAGAGATACCAAGACCACTCTCATGGAAGAGGAAGAAACAACAGAGTACTGGGAGTAGGGAAATATGAAGCTGTGCTCAGAGGAAATGACTAATTGTATTAACGGGAAATGCCCGCAGGTAGATGGGGAAAGGTACATTCTTATCATTCTTATCATGAACTCAATAAACAGTTTGAATTCACGGTATATAAAGAAGAGAGAGAGAGAGAGAAGCAGGAGAGCATGGAGACAAATATAGGATGAACAGAACAGAAACAACTAAGGAATATGCCGAAGAGCAAGGAATGAACATGTAAGAATCTGAAGTCAGTCAGTGAGGCAACAGATTATTGTCTTTTAGCTGCAGTTGAAGCTAAACTAGTGACAAACTTGCTTCCTAGTCACATTTGGAGGGAATGATGATCTGCGATGAAGGAAGATGATGATATGATGAAGGACATGGAGATCTGTGATGAATGAGAGCTTCCAGGGAGCATTCAAGAGTGAGAGTGAGCAGCTCTTACCTGCAGACTACGAGACAGTAGGGAGGATCAAGGACGTCACCAAGAAGCAAACACAAGCTCAACTTCCAAGAGCAAAGAGCAAAAAAACAGCAAATCAATAAGTCTTAACAAGACGTTTAATTAAGCAGCCTTTCGGTAATAAGAGTATGATGGTAGGTTTTAGTAGTGTAATGGGCTCGTTACTGGCCCTTAAGGGCGTGTGTGTGTGTGTGTGTGTGTGTGTGTACTCACCTAGTTGTGTTTGCGGGGGTTGAGCTCTGGCTCTTTGGTCCCGCCTCTCAACCGTCAATCAACAGGTGTACAGATTCATGAGCCTATCGGGCTCTGTCATATCTACACTTGAAACTGTGTATGGAGTCAGCCTCCACCACATCACCCCCTAATGCATTCCATTTGTCAACCACTCTGACACTAAAAAAGTTCTTTCTAATATCTCTGTGGCTAATTTGGGCACTCAGTTTCCACCTGTGTCCCCTTGTGCGTGTGCCCCTTGTGTTAAATAGCCTGTCTTTATCTACCCTATCAATTCCCTTCAGAATCTTGAATGTGGTGATCATGTCCCCCCTAACTCTTCTGTCTTCCAGCGAAGTGAGGTTTAATTCCCGTAGTCTCTCCTCGTAGCTCATACCTCTCAGCTCGGGTACTAGTCTGGTGGCAAACCTTTGAACCTTTTCCAGTTTCCAGTTTTGTGTGTGTGTGTGTGTGTGTGTGTGTGTGTGTGTGTGTGTGTGTGTGTTTCTCGTCGCACCTAAAGGCTCCCTGTCCAGCTTCATGGGGTGTGTGGGTATGTATTCGACAGTGTGGGTATGTATTCGACAGTGTGGGTATGTATTCGACAGTGTGGGTATGTATTCGACAGTGTGGGTATGTATTCGACAGTGTGGGTATGTATTCGACAGTGTGGGTATGTATTCGACAGTGTGGGTATGTAGTCGACAGTGTGGGCATGTAGTCGACAGTGTGGGCATGTAGTCGACAGTGTGGGCATGTAGTCGACAGTGTGGGCATGTAGTCGACAGTGTGGGCATGTAGTCGACAGTGTGGGCATGTAGTCGACAGTGTGGCCATGTAGTCGACAGTGTAGCCATGTAGTCGACAGTGTGGGCATGTAGTCGACAGTGTGGGCATGTAGTCGACAGTGTGGGCATGTAGTCGACAGTGTGGGCATGTAGTCGACAGTGTGGGTATGTAGTCGACAGTGTAGCCATGTAGCCGACAGTGTGGGCATGTAGTCGACAGTGTGGGCATGTAGTCGACAGTGTGGGCATGTAGTCGACAGTGTGGGCATGTAGTCGACAGTGTGGGCATGTAGCCGACAGTGTGGGCATGTAGTCGACAGTGTGGGCATGTAGTCGACAGTGTGGGCATGTAGTCGACAGTGTGGGCATGTAGCCGACAGTGTGGGCATGTAGCCGACAGTGTGGGCATGTAGTCGACAGTGTGGGCATGTAGTCGACAGTGTGGCCATGTAGTCGACAGTGTGGGCATGTAGTCGACAGTGTGGCCATGTAGTCGACAGTGTGGGCATGTAGTCGACAGTGTGGGCATGTAGTCGACAGTGTGGGCATGTAGTCGACAGTGTGGGCATGTAGTCGACAGTGTGGGTATGTAGTCGACAGTGTGGGCATGTAGTCGACAGTGTGGGCATCAATTTGATGTTTGTGTGGGGCGTTGACCCAGAGTTTATAGGTTGAGGGCGTCCAAGGAGTTCTGGAATTTGGGTTACGGAATCGTAAGGAATGAATGGTGGTGTTGCTGTGGGCGTGAGGGCGTGGGCGTGAGGGCGTGGGCGTGAGGGCGTGGGCGTGAGGGCGTGGGTGAGGATCTACACACTATCGCTCGGAAAATCTTGCCGGCGCGCCCCACGGGAGAGTTCTATATACATCTTCATCATGTTTCATACTGTCATTATGCTAGCGTTAAGGTGTTTGGCCAATAGAGGGTGTGGCTGGTGTAGGATAGCTGTCATACAACCCCCGTGGCTGTCATACACTCCCCGTGGCTGTCATACACTCCCCGTGGCTGTCATACACTCCCCGTGGCTGTCATACACTCCCCGTGGCTGTCATACACTCCCCGTGGCTGTCATACACTCCCCGTGGCTGTCATACACTCCCCGTGGCTGTCATACACTCCCCGTGGCTGTCATACACTCCCCGTGGCTGTCATACACTCCCCGTGGCTGTCATACACCCCCCGTGGCTGTCATACACTCCCCGTGGCTGTCATACACTCCCCGTGGCTGTCATACACTCCCCGTGGCTGTCATACACTCCCCGTGGCTGTCATACACTCCCTGTGGCTGTCATACACTCCCCGTGACTGTCATACACTCCCCGTGGCTGTCATACACTCCCCGTGGCTGTCATACACCCCCCGTGGCTGTCATACACTCCCCGTGACTGTCATACACTCCCTGTGGCTGTCATACACTCCCCGTGGCTGTCATACACTCCCTGTGGCTGTCATACACTCCCCGTGACTGTCATACACTCCCCGTGGCTGTCATACACTCCCCGTGGCTGTCATACACCCCCGTGGCTGTCATACACTCCCCGTGGCTGTCATACACCCCCCGTGGCTGTCATACACCCCCCGTGGCTGTCATACACCCTCCGTGGCTGTCATACACTCCCCGTGGCTGTCATACACTCCCCGTGGCTGTCATACACTCCCCGTGGCTGTCATACACTCCCCGTGGCTGTCATACACCCCCCGTGGCTGTCATACACCCCCCGTGGCTGTCATACACTCCCCGTGGCTGTCATACACCCCCCGTGGCTGTCATACACTCCCCGTGGCTGTCATACACTCCCCGTGGCTGTCATACACTCCCCGTGGCTGTCATACACTCCCCGTGGCTGTCATACACTCCCCGTGGCTGTCATACACCCCCCGTGGCTGTCATACACTCCCCGTGGCTGTCATACACCCCCCGTGGCTGTCATACACTCCCCGTGCCTGTCATACACTCCCCGTGGCTGTCATACACCCCCGTGGCTGTCATACACCCTCCGTGGCTGTCATACACCCCCGTGGCTGTCATACACCCCCGTGGCTGCCATACACCTCCGTGGCTGTCATACACTCCCCGTGGCTGTCATACACCCCCCCGTGGCTGTCATACACTCCCCGTGGCTGTCATACACTCCCCGTGGCTGTCATACACTCCCCGTGGCTGTCATACACTCCCCGTGGCTGTCATACACTCCCCGTGGCTGTCATACACCCCCCGTGGCTGTCATACACCCTCCGTGGCTGTCATACACTCCCCGTGGCTGTCATACACTCCCCGTGGCTGTCATACACTCCCCGTGGCTATCATACACTCCCCGTGGCTGTCATACACCCCCCGTGGCTGTCATACACCCCCCCGTGACTGTCATACACTCCCCGTGGCTGTCATACACCCCCCGTGGCTGTCATACACTCCCCGTGGCTGTCATACACTCCCCGTGGCTGTCATACACTCCCCGTGGCTGTCATACACGCCCCGTGGCTGTCATACACCCCCCGTGGCTGTCATACACCCCCCGTGGCTGTCATACACCCCCCGTGACTGTCATACACGCCCCGTGGCTGTCATACACGCCCCGTGGCTGTCATACACGCCCCGTGGCTGTCATACACGCCCCGTGGCTGTCATACACCCCCCGTGACTGTCATACACGCCTCTGCCTCAGAAAGCTGAGAGAGACTAGCCATCAGCATCTGGCCTACAAATAGGACATTGTATATGACAAATATAGATATAACAGCAAGTATATCTATATTTATATCAAGATATATCAACAAGTATATATCAAGATATACAACAAGTATATCTATATATCAAGATATGGACTAAGGGAAGCGAATTACCAGGGGGAAAGCGCCAAGCAATTGCGACTATATACCACTGGGAAGGGGTCAGGATAAGGATTTGGGATGGGACGGAGGGAAAGGAATAGTGCCCAACCTCTTGTGGACGGTTGGGGATTGAACGCCGACCTGCATGAAGCGAGACCGTTCATCTACCGTCCAGCCCAAGTGGTTGGGCTTATATCTTGACCAAGACAATCAGAGTTTATCCAATAAATTATTTTAAAATTGAAATGTAATTTGTGACTCTTTAAAGAGACGTTGATGAGGCCAGTCAGAGCTTTCCATATGTGACTATAATAAGTCATATGTAACTATGAGAAGGAGTCCATGTGTGACTAATGATGAGTCCATATGTGACTAATGAAGAGTCCCATATGTGACTAATGAGGAGTCCCATATGTGACTAATGAGGAGTCCATATGTGACTAATGAGGAGTCCCATATGTGACTAATGAGGAGTCCCATATGTGACTAATGAGTCCATATGTGACTAATGAGGAGTCCATGTGACTATAATGAGGAGTCCCATATGTGACTAATGAGTCCATATGTGACTACAATGAGGAATTCACATAAAAAGCAATTCCTCGTACATCACAGATTATAGAACATATATGATGATACTTCACTATATTAACTTTGCCTTTCTTGTGTTACCTTCATAATTCTCTCAGTAACAACTTACCATCTAGAGGTACAGGCTGGCTGTTAGCATTATTATTATTAACATCTTTATTGACAAAATTAATTACAATTTTGCATAATCTGAGGATTTTGATAGTCTTATTAAATTGAGGTTAATGCTAGTATTCACTGTCACGCAGGACAGAGGGTCATACACAAGACAATAGGTTGTTAGCAGCGTCAGTATTCCCTCGTGGGGTCCACACACACACACACCTGAGGTCAGATCATGATGAACTACACGAAACAGAAATGTCAAGAGGCAGAAAGGAGGAAAATTTCCTAACAAAGAAACTGGGAACCAAAGCGGGTGGACCGCCCAACATTCAACAATGACGGCCAAAACCATAAGTAGAAAGGTATACAGTTCTTGACCACTAGGCAGCAGGAGAATAGAGAGGGGTGCAGAGAAGTCTTTCGTGGCGCAGTGGTAACACACACACACACACACACACACACTCTCGCCCCGCTCATGGTGATTGATTTGGGCCGGGTTCGAGGTCTGGTCTGGGAGGATTGACTGCTGGCTAATTCATAACTGTTCACTCAACAGTAATTGGGAATCTAGTTGTTTACTAATTGGCGGGTTGTGTTCCAGGGAAACGTAGGATGAGCTACGGAAGGGGAGGCTTCTCAGCCTGCCGACAGGCTCCGACAGGCTTCGACAGGCTCTGACAGGCTCTGACAGGCTCTGACCGGCTCTGACAGGCTCTGACAGGCTCCGACAGGCTCCGACAGGCTCTGACAGGCTCTGACAGGCTCCGACAGGCTCCGACAGACTGTGACAGGCTCCGACAGGCTCCGACAGGCTCTGACAGGCTCCGACAGGCTCCGACAGGCTTCGATAGGCTCCGACAGGCTCCGACAGGCTCCGACAGGCTCTGACAGGCTCTGACAGGCTCCGTCAGGCTCCGCCAGGCTCCGACAGGCTTCGATAGGCTCCGACAGGCTCCGACAGGCTCCGACAGGCTCTGACAGGCTCAGTTACATAACTATAACAACGCCAGAGGCTCTAACAGCACTTCATAAATCAGACACCACTGAATAACAGACCAGCAGCCTTAGCATGCAAGAAAGAATAATACATGAATAACTGAACACTTCAAGACAATGACCTTCACAGCAAAGCACCAACAAGGGCTCAGAGAAAGGAAGACTTGCCGAGTAAACCTATTGGAGTTCAAGGATGTAATGAGATCAGTTAAGATAGGTTAGGTTGTCAGCGCTGTGGAGAAATGCCCGACACACCACTGGAACATTATCTAACACAGTGCACAGTTACAACCACAACAGACCACTGGAACATTATCTAACACAGTGCACAGTTACAACCACAACAGACCACTGGAACATTATCTAACACAGTGCACAGTTACAGCCACAACAGACCACTGGAACATTATCTAACACAGTGCACAGTTACAACCACAACAGAGCACTGGAACATTATCTAACACAGTGCACAGTTACAGCCACAACAGACCACTGGAACATTATCTAACACAGTGCACAGTTACAACCACAACAGACCACTGGAACATTATCTAACACAGTGCACAGTTACACCCACAACAGACCACTGGAACATTATCTAACACAGTGCACAGTTACACCCACAACAGACCACTGGAACATTATCTAACACAGTGCACAGTTACAACCACAACAGACCACTGGAACATTATCTAACACAGTGCACAGTTACAGCCACAACAGACCACTGGAACATTATCTAACACAGTGCACAGTTACAACCACAACAGACCACTGGAACATTATCTAACACAGTGCACAGTTACAGCCACAACAGACCACTGGAACATTATCTAACACAGTGCACAGTTACAACCACAACACACCACTGGAACATTATCTAACACAGTGCACAGTTACACCCACAACAGACCACTGGAACATTATCTAACACAGTGCACAGTTACACCCACAACAGACCACTGGAACATTATCTAACACAGTGCACAGTTACAACCACAACAGACCACTGGAACATTATCTAACACAGTGCACAGTTACAGCCACAACAGACCACTGGAACATTATCTAACACAGTGCACAGTTA